GGGTTGCTTTTTGGCCACGCGCACTTGCGTGATTTTTTGGGAAATAGTGTTGGCGGCTGTTCGTTTCTTGCTGCAGCGTACGATGCGACTGTTCATTTAAGTGAACCCTTAGGCTGCTCAACAACTTCTACAAAATTGGTGCCATTATTTAATGCTACCTTGATTGCGAAATTCCAACGGTTGTTCTTTCGTGCTATTTGTTTCCAAGGGCTTTGGTTCGAGTCTCTGCCTTTTCACTGCTTTCCAAAGGTCTTCCTTCCTTGAACTAATCCTTTGCCTCCTTCCAATGCTCCCTCTTAACATCTTGGATTCATGGTTTCTTCCTCACTGTTCAAGCAGCGTGCTCGTGAGCTGCTCAGAGGCGATTGGGTCTCCATTTTTCTACTTCCTTCCCAACTTACCGCTGCGGAAGTTGATAATATAAAGAGTTAATACAACTTTCCTGAAGACCTGGGGGTTAGAGCCCCTTCTTCGAATGAGCCCTGTAGCATGTTTCTTCCTAGTGACGTTGCTTTCGGGCACNGGATTCATGGTTTCTTCCTCACTGTTCAAGCAGCGTGCTCGTGAGCTGCTCAGAGGCAATTGGGTCTCCATTTTTCTACTTCCTTCCCAACTTTCCGCTGTNTCATTGCTGGTAGATCAGCTGAGAGAGTCCCAGGCTGCGACTGCTGAGCTGAGCAGCTCTCTGGCTGCCGAGTGTCAAGTGGTTAAGGATTAGCGAAAAGAGATCGAGAAATCCAGGCTAGAGGCAGCTAGTGCCTTTGTGGATGGGTTCTTCAATTTTGCTGTCCAGGCAATTGAGAGGTTCCCTAGCTTGGATCTTGAGCATTTTTAGGCACAGTTTGATATTCCTCCAAGTGGTGGTGCTCTTGATGATGCTCCTCTAGCTCCTTCTTCTTACTAGTCCTAAAGAGCAGACTCCTGTTGTTCTGTTCGTTTGCTTGCTTGTTTTTTGTTGTCAGTTTTTTTTGAAATACTTGTAAACACTTTCTTTTGTAAATAGGATTTTTGTTTCTTCCTATGGTGATGTGTTTGTTGGTGCTATATTCCCTTGCCCCCCTTACTCCAAGGAGGCCGTGGCTTGTTTGGAGTAATGCTGTCTTCTGGGTTGCTTTTTGGCCACGCGCACTTGCGTGATTTTTTGGGAAATAGTGTTGGCGGCTGTTCGTTTCTTGCTGCAGCGTACGATGCGACTGTTCATTTAAGTGAACCCTTAGGCTGCTCAACAACTTCTACAAAATTGGTGCCATTATTTAATGCTACCTTGGTTGCGAAATTCCAACGGTTGTTCTTTCGTGCTATTTGTTTCCAAGGGCTTTGATTCGAGTCTCTGCCTTTTCATTGCTTTCCAAAGGTCTTCCTTCCTTGAACTAACCCTTTGCCTCCTTCCAATGCTCCCTCTTAACATCTTGGATTCATGGTTTCTTCCTCACTGTTCAAGCAGCGTGCTCGTGAGCTGCTCAGAGGCAATTGGGTCTCCATTTTTCTACTTCCTTCCCAACTTTCCGCTGTGGAAGTTGATAATATAAAGAGTTAATACAACTTTCCTGAAGACCTGGGGGTTAGAGCCCCTTCTTCGAATGAGCCCTGTAGCATGTTCCTTCCTAGTGAGGTTGCTTTCGGGCATGTTTAAGAGTGGTCTCCGACTCCCACTCCATCGAGATTTTGCCTGGGTTCTCTCCTATCACAGCTTATGTCCCTCTCGCCTTTCCCCTGAGGGATGGGCTACCTTGGTCAACTTCTTCATCTTCTGGCGCATGCAAGGCTTCAATGTTTTTCCTACTGTCTCCGAATTCTTCTATTTTTTTGACCTCTCCTTTGACTTTCCTACTTTCTTCAGCAGTGTTTCTTGGAAATTGTATTTTCATCCTCTTTTGCTCGTTGATATTCCCCCTTCCCGTGAGGGGTGGACCCAACGCTTCTTTTTTATTTTTGGGGACTCCTGGGAGTCTGTTGTGAGTGAAGATCGGAGTGTTTGAGCCCCCCGTTCTTGGGTGAGCTTCCGTGAAAGAGGTAAGCGTATTGATGGTTTTTAGTTAGCCAACTTTCATTGTCAAATGCTGTACTAAACCTGTTTGTGTTGGCATCGCTCTGTGCAGGTATTCCTTGCCTTACTCCGTTGTTACCCCCCATCCCCTACTCTGTGTAGGCATCGACTTCACTCACAGACGGCGCCAACTAATGGTGTCACGAAAATAATAGTCCAAGCCCGATTAATGAATTATTACCTAGATTAGTGAGTTTGATCAAATGCGTGATCGATTTGTAAATGATGGAAGGCTCAAAAAGTAAGTGGTTCACCTTAGTCGGGAGACTAAGACTACATCCACTGTAATGAAGTCTCTTGCTCCTTAAGGTCGTGTATTAGAATCAGGTGAGCGTACTGGGATCGTTGGCACTGAGCCTTTACAGGGGCTTAAGCTTTGTTTGTTGTGTATGTACGACAAAAGAATCTCTTGGAGAGATAGCTTTCGTAGATTTATACTGTTCTATTTATATTTATCCTTCCTAGGGTTCCTGGTGGCTCCTTCTACCTTTTTGATGATCCTGTGGGGACCTTATGTCCTTGTCCTGAAAAAGCCTCTATTAGTCGGCATTGCTGTGCCCACAGTTTATGAATCGTTACGTACCACCATCCCCCTGCGTTCGGGAGGGTGTAACTGTCATAGGTTTCAGAGATGGTCCCCTTGTCTTTTGGATGTGTGGCATGGCGGGATACTTCCAGGGCTAAGATTCGACCCCTCTTTCTCGAACGGTCTTTCAACTAGTACTGGATTGGGCTAGGACTAGGCTACTTGTCCTTTGGAGCCATTGGGCTTTACCCTTTTCAGCTCTTGATGTGGACTAACCAGAGGCACTTCTTTGGACCAATAAGCCTTGCCTTTGGATTTTCAAGATGTATTGGGCTCAGAGACCCTGNGTATTCCTTGCCTTACTCCGTTGTTACCCCCCATCCCCTACTCTGTGTAGGCATCGACTTCACTCACAGACGGCGCCAACTAATGGTGTCACGAAAATAATAGTCCAAGCCCGATTAATGAATTATTACCTAGATTAGTGAGTTTGATCGAATGCGTGATCGATTTGTAAATGATGGAAGGCTCAAAAAGTAAGTGGTTCACCTTAGTCGGGAGACTAAGACTACATCCACTGTAATGAAGTCTCTTGCTCCTTAAGGTCGTGTATTAGAATCAGGTGAGCGTACTGGGATCGTTGGCACTGAGCCTTTATAGGGGCTTAAGCTTTGTTTGTTGTGTATGTACGACAAAAGAATCTCTTGGAGAGATAGCTTTCGTAGATTTATACTGTTCTATTTATATTTATCCTTCCTAGGGTTCCTGGTGGCTCCTTCTACCTTTTTGATGATCCTGTGGGGACCTTATGTCCTTGTCCTGAAAAAGCCTCTATTAGTCGGCATTGCTGTGCCCACAGTTTATGAATCGTTACGTACCACCATCCCCCTGCGTTCGGGAGGGTGTAACTGTCATAGGTTTCAGAGATGGTCCCCTTGTCTTTTGGATGTGTGGCATGGCGGGATACTTCCAGGGCTAAGATTCGACCCCTCTTTCTCGAACGGTCTTTCAACTAGTACTGGATTGGGCTAGGACTAGGCTACTTGTCCTTTGGAGCCATTGGGCNTGATCCTGTGGGGACCTTATGTCCTTGTCCTGAAAAAGCCTCTATTAGTCGGCATTGTTGTGCCCACAGTTTATGAATCGTTACGTGCCACCATCCCCCTGCGTTCGGGAGGGTGTAACTGTCATAGGTTTCAGAGATGGTCCCCTTGTCTTTTGGACGTGTGGCATGGCGGGATACTTCCAGGGCAAAGATTCGACCCCTCTTTCTCGAACGGTCTTTCAACTGGTACTGGATTGGGCTAGGACTAGACTACTTGTCCTTTGGAGCCATTGGGTTTTACCCTTTTCAGCTCTTGATGTGGACTAACCAGAGGCACTTCTTTGGACCAATAAGCCTTGCCTTTGGATTTTCAAGATGTATTGGGCTCAGAGACCCTGGCGGCCCATTTCCAAAATTCCACCTTTATCAGTAGAACCAAGCAAACACATTCAATAGTCAAACAATTTAAAAATAATTGGGGATGACAAAACACCTGGACCGGGGTTTAGCAAGATATAGAACTTATGAATTGATAGAGTAGATGATCCAAAACATGTAAGCAATTATTAGGAATTTGTAACACAAATGTTTAGAATTTCGAATATGTGCGTAATCACATGTAGCGTATTGAACAAAAATTGTTTAGCCATCAAATTCATTTGAACACATTCTAATATGTCATCGTGCAAGTGTCATTCAATGTGTTGGATCAAACTTGCTATTTTGTTATCTAAATGGTAGCTTCCTTCTTAATAGCTGGATTCTACTCCTACGCATGAGCCCAAAGTGTCTTAAGTTTGTATAGTATGGCCAGAATCAACATTACATTATCATCAAATACATTGCAGGGCAGCATTGAACACACCCAGGTCCCTTTACCAAAAGGATGAACACTGAAATAGGAAGGTAGAAAAAAAAAACAAATGATTTTTAGGAAGATTAAGCCCAAACACTCGCAAGTCCATTCACCAAGTATATATATAAGAATTAGGAAAACAACATTGTAGCCGCTGTTAAGTTCAGACCAGATTCGTCTTAGCTGCACATAAACATACCTTAGCATTTCTGAATCTAAGATAATTAAAATTTAAAAGCAAAGAACAAAAATCATTCGTACNAAAAAACAAATGATTTTTAGGAAGATTAAGCCCAAACACTCGCAAGTCCATTCACCAGGTATATATATAAGAATTAGGAAAACAACATTGTAGCCGCTGTTAAGTTCAGACCAGATTCGTCTTAGCTGCACCTAAACATACCTTAGCATTTCTGAATCTAAGATAATTAAAATTTAAAAGCAAAGAACAAAAATCATTCGTACAGATACTGATTCTCATTGTACTAATCAATATAGTAACATAGCATCATCAGAAGTTTACACTTCACTCTGGATAGGCTTCGATGATGGATGGTAAAGCTGGAATTTTGATGATCTTGTAGCGCAGGAATCCTCCATCCTCTAACAGCCTCTTCCATTCGGGTTCAGTCCTTTCTTTTCTGCCCGAGGTGTGTGCAATCATCACAAGATCAAACACCAAACCAGTGTTGTCAAACAGGCCATCACCTTCTGGATTCAAAACCACATCTATAATGATCACTTTCCCGGTCTTCTCAGGTATTGCTTTACGACAGTTCTTCAATATCTTGACACAATGCTCGTCGCTCCAGTCGTGCAGTATCCACTGCATTGTTGAATTCAAAGAGTGTTGTAATTTTAGACTTAAAGGGAAAAGAAAAAAGGTCTCAAACATCAACCACACAAGGCCCTTTAAGAAATCTTTCGTTGAAGTTGAGTACTTTTGAGACTTGGAGCAAAGATAGATGTGGCCAGATGAAGATACTACGTCTACGCTCTAAGAATTGAAGTGGCTTCGGACAGTTTTTCTTCTATAATTTCAAAATCAGTCAATCGAATATTGATTAACTTGTAATCGAAAAAAAAAAAACTACCTAAAAACAACTATTCTAATTAGCAACGACATGTTTCAAATGTTTCTAGTAATTTTGGCTCCCCCTAGACATTGTGCCAACATAGCTTGATGGGATTTGGTTGAAAATAATTTATGAATATAAATTTTAGATTATTAACATTACGAATGACCAAACACCAGGGAAAAAAGAATTCAGGACAAGTCCCATCCACCAAACCACCACCATTGTTGAAATCCACCAATCAAAGTGAAAAGTGAGAGATGAAATACATTTAAGTGCAAGAAATGAGAGAGAGTGATAGGCCCTGGACTTTACATAAATGCAGTATAACAGTTGGTATGGTGCAGTTTAATGTGTCGACAATTTGTGGTGGCCTTTTTGTACTGGCGCACTGCTGATAAAAGTTCTTTTGCAATGCTTATTGTTTGCATCGTACTCTATGACTATCCAGTACATAATTAACAAACTGCAAATCAAGTGGAGAATAGCCACTAGACATCTATACCCTTACCTTCATGAAGACTGCATCAGCTTTAGGAATGGCGTCAAACATGTCGCCACCAACATGATAGACTCCATGGTACTCTGGTGCCGTCGCCACCACATGCGGCAAATCAAAGTTGATCACCTTGATATGCGGATAGGCCTTCACAATCTCCACCATCGCTGCAACTGTGCCGCCAACCACATCCACCACCAATTTCAGGCTGCGAAACCCATCTTCGTAACTCGAAATGATCGCCCTCAGAGTGATCTTCGCCGTACAAGCCATGCCTTCGTTGAACATCTTGTTGAATTCAGGATTGAGCGCTGCAAATTCCCATATCTCATGGCCATGAGCCTTCTGGAATGCAATCCCACCTGTTGGGGAAATTAGCATATGATTATACATATTGCAGTTACCAAATCAATTTCAAAATCACTAAACCAAACTACAAACCATGTATAATAACATCATAATATGTCATGAGCACAGTGAAATCAAGAATTGAAATTAGAAAGAGTTAGTTTGCGAGTCTAAAAAACGTGAAATCACTGCACTAAAATAGTTATGATTCCTTGTGTGGGAGGTATAGCTAAAATAGTTATAATGGATGTGTCGGGAAGGCTAAAATTCAGAATGAACCATGTTTATAGAGAAGCAAATTGCTTAGCTGATTTTTTTGCAAATCAGGCAGTAAGGGATGGCTTCTCTACAGATTTTTCTCAGGAGCTCAGAATCCCTTTGCATGCCAAACTGCTGCTGATTCAGGATCAACGAGGACTGCAGAAGTTGAGGAAGAAAATTGTTGTTCTTTGACTAGTGTATTTCTTCTTTCTCTTTTGATTGGATTGCGAATATGGCAGGATCTGTCTACCTATTCTTCTGTTGTAATTCATTTGAGCAATGAAATAAAATGTTGATTTGTTGTTTAAAAAAAAAAAGAAAGAGGTATTAATGGACATCAACTCGTACCAATAACTCCAAAATGATTACATTACTGAAAGATAAAGGTGAATCTTACTCAAAATAAGAAAGGAATTGGACGTAACATTTGGTGAGTTAAAGGATCGCATCATTAAACCATATTTGTAGCACCTCAAATTGATGCTAAACAAATAAGAAATTTTAAGTACAAGCATAAATATGAAATTGAAGTAGTCTATTATACCACAACCTTCTTTCACACAGCTGCTCAGGCAATGCCACGGTGCCACTGCCCATAGGTGGTTTTCCATGAGTAGTATCGGGGCGAGACTTAAATCCGTATCGTGTAGTAACCATTTGGAGGAGGGAGTGAGACTGTAGAGCGGCTCTCCTCCGTTGGATTGAGAATTGACGGTGAAGATCTTCTTGAGGACTAGCAGTCTCATGATTCGGGCAAGGCAGGTGGTGTCCGGGGATGAAGAGGCAATGCCGGAGGCAATTTTGGACAAGGTGATCGGAGAGCCATGGGAGTGGCTTTCAAAGCCATTGAATCTGCAAAGTTGAACATGTATTGCCATATCTCTGCTTGACCTTGTAGCATGGCCTCAGAATCAATAGACTCCTCCTCTCCCATACTCTCTCTCTCTCTCTCTCTCNGTTGAACATGTATTGCCATATCTCTGCTTGACCTTGTAGCATGGCCTCAGAATCAATAGACTCCTCCTCTCCCATACTCTCTCTCTCTCTCTCTCTCACACGCACACACACGTACACAGGTAGAAGCTATCTAGCTAAACAGGTAACCAAGGCAATCAATAAATAGAGGAAGTGGGAGATTTTTGAATAAAAATTGGGTGTAATTAGTGGTGGTAAATGAGTGGGTTAAGTTGGTTATGGATTGTGTTAAATTTGTTTAAGTTCAAATAAATTTACTCAATTTTTCACTCACGTATTAAATGGACTATAATGGGTTGGGTTTATAACGGATTGAATTAAATCTACTAACCTATAAAATAATTAAAATTTTTAATAGACACATTAATACACCAAAACACACACATTAGTAATATACCAAAATATAAACATACACTAATATACCAAAACATATAAAATAATACACTAAAAACACACACACTAATCTATATCTATATATACTACTTCTAAATGTCAAGATCTAAGAACAACTTTTGAATGACTATTATACCCGTAAACAATTATATAAACACAACACTACTCTTCGGAACACCAATTAACAATTCTATTAATATTAGGAATTATGTCATTTGTACTCCATTGATAGTAGAAATGTGGGGGTGATTAGACATAATAGCACAATTATGTATTAAATTCAATAGATGCATTATATGCAATCTAATAGGGCATATCTATTAGTTGATGATTATTTTAGTTAATGTTTTTGCTGGCATCATACAATTTGAAATTATATTTGAGTGACACATAATCTAATCGAGTTCCTTCATTAAGGAAAATATCTTTTAGTTTTACGTAAATAATTGTCATTTTGGTTGTTGCAACTCTTCATCTCTTTAGTTAATGTTAGTCATTTCAATTCTTTAGATTCTTTTCCCAAATTTAGTAACTTTGTATATAGTTTAAAATCTGGCTACTTATTCTTCCAATCTTCTGCTTCAACTTCGTCACATGAACTCCTTTATCACTCATGCCCCTAGTATATGGGGAATGAAGACATTGAACCGCTATAACTCTGAAAACTGAAATGAAAGAAAGACAGAGACGGAGAATTTTCTCAGTGCTCTTTTCCTTTCAATTTGCAGACTCATTACAAGGTAGGATGGGTAATATGTTTCAAATCCTTGTAACTTTACACACACACACTCACACACACACACATATATTCTATTATCAGAAATCCACACTTGCCAATAAATTTTTTGGGTATATCCTTGTGCATCCTTGTTAATGCAAGTATGGTTGTTATAAATATACTAGCATGTAGACTACATAGTATCATATTCATGTCATGCTATTTTGAATAAATTTTTTTTATTAATACTAACTTAATCTATTTTATTAAATGTGGCTCAGTGACACCTGGGGGGGTTATGTACAGATCGTTAGGGAATAACTATTTCTTCCCTTTAATTCATCCATCTTCCATCTATTATGGTCACTCAACCATGAAATAATATCGTCCTTCAAATTTTAGTATTTTTGTTTAGCTCTTTCATTTTTCGTTCAAATCTCATTAGTCAAAATATAAGCCACAACAAATGAACTTGCAAAATGATAACATAAAATGTTCACAACTAATAATTTAATATTATTCACGTGCAACTCATGTGTGCACCTACTATTACACTAAAACACACAATAAATACACAAACATATACTAATACAAAATTAAAACACACTTAATAAAAAAAAATACACACACATAATGGGTGGGGGTCGATTGTGGGTAACGTGTCGATCCATGAGTCATGGGTTGCAGGTCGACCGCATGATCATGGGTGGTGTATTTGTGTGTGTGTCTTTGGTATGCTAGTGTGTGTTTGTTTTGGTGTATTAGTATATATGTGTGTATTTTTTAGGATAATAGTGTTTGTATTTTTTTGCATATTAGTATATCTATTTAATTTTATTACTTGCGTTATTTAATAGAAAAATAAATAATCAACCCAATGAATACCCATTTATAATCCATATTAACTTGTTTAATTAAAATGAATATATTACCCACCTTATTTAGAACCCACATTAATTAATATAGATATCAAACTCATTTATTTATGGACGGGTTGAATATATTAATGGGTAATGGATTAAAATTGTCATCTCTAGGTATAACAGTAACAATACGTCGTCATTGTGATGTGGTGTTGTCATTCAATAAAAGGATAACAAATAACAGTTGGATCTCACATATTCTAATAATCACCCTACAATGTTATTTAACAACCACTCAAGTGAGATTCATATTGTTCTTTTGCAGATTTGTTATTGCATGATGACACTATTATCAATGATGACATGGTGTTACTATTACACCTAATATTTACTTGAAATTTCTTGTGATAAAAAACTTAATTATTCCTATCAATTTAATTATGACAACTAAGTCCAATTTTTTTTAAAGTAATTTGAAAAATGCACTAATTTTCTTATCGTGTCCCTTGGTCCATTAGTTGTTAATTACAAAAATTCACGGGGTATGAAAAATTATGAATTTTAAACAAATACTAACTAAATGAGAAAACGAAAATAACAAATGTTTTCCCACAAATAATTAACGCGAATTGATGTCTAAAAAAACTCGAATTTAACGACGACATAGTTGAGCAAACCTTGATTACTTTGTAATAAATTATCAAAAATTTGACTAAATTGTGACAATAGAAATGACACTAATTTCTATCACAAAAAAAATATTTATTAAGTAGTGACTATTAAGTTAACCGCTAATCTCATCTATTGTACTTCCAAAAAATTCTATAACTAGTGTGTCACTTCTGTCTGGTTCATATTTGCGAAAGGATATTGAATTTTAGAACTTGAAGGCTATATTTATGGAAGCAATGCATATAAGTTGACATAGTTTGCAATTTTAGATAATTTTTTTGTATTCGAGTGTATTGATCAGGGGCTGCAGGGCTTCCACAGGTTGTTTTTCCCCTTTGTCAAGCGATAACTCGTATTGTTAGGATGATGTAGCCGGGTTTAGGCCGCTCTCTAATAACTCCTTTTTTTTGGCAGGGAAAAGGTTAAGTACAGAGTAAAGAAAAAAATAAAATTAAGCTAGCTAATTCTTATACTAATTGGGTGTCTCCTAGAACATTGCTTCACTCAGTAAGTGTAGAATATAGTGATCAAGAAGGACACTTGCTGACTTGAGGACCAGTCCTCATCTTACTAGCTCGTGCGTTGTTGTTGTGTTTGTATCTACGTAAGCATGTATCATGCTTCAATTAAGATGATTCCTGAGAATTTGCTTCGGATCTTGGATTATTGCCCAGATCTGCCATGGAGTCTTTACATGTAGAAGCATGGTTACATGAATCACAGTATGGGAGTCGCTTTCAATGGTGATATAGTTCATATTTTGTCTTTCTGCCCAAAGAGCTGCATTTTTTCATTTCTAAGGCTTCTGCTATGAGAGGATTCATGCTTGATTTCAGAGGGACGTGTGCTCCTCTGACTGATCCATCATGCTCACACAACAGAGAGTCGATGTCCTCGAGGATTTTTAATTTATTCAGGAATTGGACTTGGTTCCTATATCGGTATAGTTTGGATACTTTAAACTTTCTATGCTCTAAATTTTCTTTCTCTCACGGATCTTCTTTTTCTTCACAATAACCATTTGGTTACAAAAAAAGTAAAATAAAATGGTACAAGATACTTGACGGAAGTTCTTTGGGGTTTTTTACCCTCTTTTAACGGATTTTTATGTTCACAGTTATCTATTGAGGTGGTATGAAATAAAAAAAAAAGATAATAATTCAAACTAAATATAGTGTAATTTACCCTTTGTCAGTTGGATAGGAATCAATATAGAATTAATTAGTGGATAAGAACTCACAAATAAAATATCCATGTACATGTCGAATTTAATTATACAACAAATTTTGACACTTACAACCGATGAATCCCACATGATATTTACCCAATACTAGGCTTAGTTGAAGTCATTATTAATTGAAAACTTCGTACAAGCTTCTACATTTTATGATTAATGATATGTATTTCAAATTTATAAATCAAATTTACATCACAAATCAAGGAGGATCATTGAATCAGTGAGTTCCATTTAAAAAAGTTGATGGGACCATTGATCTAATAGTTCTCTTTGATTTGGAATTCAAATTTGAGTTGCAAATTTGAGATACAAATTTTATCGAAGGAAAAGGAATTTAATATCAAATCTTTGACTTTATTGTCTCCTAGTTGTTCAGATGGAATCACGTGGGCAACACATAAGCACAAAACCCAACTTAATTCAGGATTAGTTCATAAGCACAACCTAACTAACACTGACTTTCTAGAATTGTTATCCATCATTCAACGGGAAATGGTAAAAGGTCTCACCTAATTTTCCAAATTAGTGTATTTATGGTCAAAATCAAGCTAATAAATCACCGATAAAAAAATAACAAGTGATACTAATTGCACCAAGAAAAAAAATTCAAAGTTAATCTAATTACCAATAAAAAATAACAATGACCAATAAAAAAAAGTGAAACAAATTGCACCAAAAAACAATATTCAAAATCAATTATAAATTTTTTTTCCAAGTTGTAGACATTTAAACCCAAGTAAATCACTAATAAAAAAAAAAATAACAAAACCAAATATTTGAGTAATTTTATAGAATGAAAAAATATTTGAACGCTAAATTTTTTTTTCCAGTTTATAGACATTCAAAATCAAGCTAATCACTAATAAAAAAAAACAATTGAAATCAATTGCACCAAATTATTCCTATGTTCATTCAATTCCATTTTATTCCTACGTTCATTTAATTCCATTTTATTACTATGCTCATTAAATTTCTACATATTTTTAATTTTCATGTAAAAGTATTATTAGGTACCAAATG